CCCAGCCACGCCGCGTACGCGCGCGCCTCCAGCTGCGTGCGCGCGTCGCATGCGCCACTCTGACACACATCACATCAAACATTTGAATGCAAAAATATTATGTAACTATACAAAGAAATATAATTTAAAATAAGGTGGATGGAATACGAAAGAAAAGTAATACCATGAGTCATTTAGTAACTGATTAATGATTATTTTACAAGCTTTTTTCTTTACCAAATTGCTCTATAATATTATACTTATTAACTATTAGCAATATCTTTAGAATTGACCGTGTCAAATAGGTGTAATACAAAAATTGTATTAATGCTGTAAATCAATCATATTTTTTAGAATTTATAGTTTAATATGACCTTATCATTGAAGATGTAACATTTGCATACCTCACACAGTTGCAACAATGTCTGAGCATGACCAGACGCCTTCTTCAATCGTGATACAAGATGAAACTTCTTCCTGGGCTCGGTGTTAGCCTCCTGTCGTAACTGCATGGCGTGAGCCCAAGCGCGCTCCGCCTGGAGCAGCGGCACACACAGCAGCCGGTTCTCCGCACTCGACGCGTTCAGGTGCGCCGCCGTTACATCACGACGACGGTAGTGGCGACGATCGCCCTGAATTGTGAATGTCACATTAACCTCAATAACAAGAAACTGATAATTGTAACTAATAAACTCATTAACTATAGGACCCATTTAAAAAAAATCTTTCACTATTAGAAATTTTTTTAACAGTGGTAGTGCCCGCTTTAACATCTTAGCACGAAAGGGCCGGCACGCCCGGTGTAATACCACGACCACACAGAAGACAGGCGTGAAATGGAAGCAATTCCGTGTTTCGTCTGATGTGAGTGTGGTGCCGGAGGCCTAATTTAAGTCCCTTTCTCTTTACCACCCTTTTCTTATAAGGAGAGGTTGGGAAGAGGAAGTGGATTTGACGGTGGAGGAGATGCATAGGAAGATGAAATATCCTCGTTATGTGCGTCTCCTCCTCCGTCGTATAAGGGTAGGCAATGCATCTGCAATTGCGGATGTCTATGGGCAGCGGTCGCTTCGCCATTTTAGCGGATTAAGGTGGCCGCTTGCTCGTTTGCCACCTTATGTTATAAAAAAAAAAAAGCCATGTTTTCAAAGAGTAAAATAGGCTGCACAGACAAGGTTGCAAGCAAAATACTACAAAATAACTAAAACTTGTTTCATTGGTAGCCAGACAATTAGTGTAGCTTCTTAATACTGACTCTACACTAATTAACTCCATTAGTGACATTTAAGACAGTTGTGTGTGGCAGTTACATTTGTTACTTAATACCTTCTTTTAAATTAATGTGAGATAATAAAAAAATCAACTAGGGTTAGGCACCTGCGGAATCTTCAAGACTTTACGCATCCGTCGAAGACGCCGGGAACAATATCCGCGGTACCGTTGGTAGTCGCCGTGACGCAGGCCATGCTGTTGCTGGGCATCCTTCGTCACTCGAAATACTGTTGTAATGCTAGTTAAGGATTTAAAAAAAAAATTAAGATACTATTATAGCCTTTAGAATATACTACATTAATTAACAAGGTCACTATTACTAGTAAGCTTATTTATTAATATGACAAACAATTGCATTACAGATTGCTACATTTTCCACAAGTTTTCATTGATACTAGAAAGTTGTGTTTTAGCTTATTTTTAAAAACTTCTTTAAATCGACATGTGTAGCAAAAGTTAAAAAGTATGGTGTGGCTATAGAGATTGAAAATTTTTTGAAAAAAATTTTGAGATTGTTACATATGTAAGTAATAATTAATTATGTTTTCATTATAATTTTTACACTGAAAACATAATTAATCACATTAACATGGCAAATAAAGGTCTAAGTTATGAAATATGCCCATACTTAACTTTTTTCTTACTAAATATCCTGTAATAGATAAATCTTTGTAAAAGGATACTTTCTAATGATAAGAATTTGACTGCTTTTGACTCAGGCTTGACATCTTCGGTTGATAATTGTTTTATATCATCACCCTCACTTTCTAAGACCACCATTGCCACGAATAATCTAACTGCAATATATAAATCTGATCGAACTTAAATCTTATTCATGTATTTTAAAACGAGACACTTCCAACACAACACGTCGCCAGTAGACTTTGACATTGACATCTGATTTTGACATAAAACGACCAAACCAAAGAGTAGGTGTAAAATAACTATGTTACCTAGTTTGATGAAATAGTTTTAGTTTTTACTCCAGTTCAATGCCAAGTCAATTTGTAATTTTTATAGTTTTTATCAAAGCACTATAAAAACCACGTACATTGCAGTAAAAAAATAATATTTTTTCTGACCAATAGATCCAAAACAACTTGATTGATGCGTCAACAAGGCTGAGATTTTTTGTTATGGTTTATACCCTAGAACCAGATCAGAAAAGATGGTGGTGTGCTTGTTACGTGAGAATCGCAAATTCACGAGCTGTTTTGCATAACTATGACTTTATTTATCTATAAAATGTACTCTTTGAAGTGACGTCAAAATTGATTTTGACAATTTCTTTGACACCATGTGTCAAATTTCGTGCCAAAGGTCTTTCTGTCAAAGTTGTTCTTTCGGTAGGTTATGGTTAGATTTGTTTAATGTTTTGTTTCTATTAATATCTTTATAATCGTTATATGTATAGTGTGTTTTAATTAAATAAGTTTGTTAATGTGATAGTGTCTCAATATTGACATCAATATTTTTACTTTCAGAACATAATAACATAAGCAATGGCTAAGTCTAAGAACCATACGAATCATAACCAAAGTGAGTAACAACATTCTTGGGATTTGGTAATGAAATCCAAGCAAATAGCATGTATGACTCTTTTTGAATGTGCAGTGGTATTTATTCTCTGTAAACAATTTCAGACCGCAAAGCTCACAGAAATGGGATCAAAAAACCCAAGAAGTTCAGACACGAATCGACTCTTGGCGTAAGTAAATTTGAAATGTTTATCTATACTAATATTATAAAGAGGAAAACTTTGTATTTTTGTATGTATTGATATAACTCAAAAACCACTGGACCGATTTTAAATATTAATCCTTATCCCAATAAATGCATCTGTTATCAGGAGAATTTAATGTAGAATAAAATTGTCCTTCACAGTATATAAATTTGACTAATAGTTTACAAGATATCGCGAACACAAACAGTAAGGGTAACCGAAAAATCAGCTTACAAGCTACCGGGCTTAGAAATTTGGAATCTTGCATCGGTAGATTTCTGTTATTAC